TCAATAACTACAAATTCCAGAAAGAATGTGTCCTTAATCTGATTTGTACAGCCGACAATAACTTGCAATGATATTTCATAGTCTGATGGATATGAAATGCTCAAGTGGAAGACTCAAACATATTTTGCAATGCCTAATGATACAGACAGAAAAATGAAAGCCTTTGTTTTATGCCCACTCAGTATAAATTACCTCTTCTAAACTGAAATTTGCCTGCTTTTAGTTTATTAGAAAGTAAAATGCAGTTCCTTAACCATCCTTAAATGTCAGTTCCTACATTTCAGCTAAGGGCCAGTAACTTTCAGAGGAACAGTTAACTTAAGCTGTGATCATCCATCTATATTCCAACATGGATACATCAAGCTAAAGTCTCCAAAACTATGCCGTTTCTCAGAGGAAAGAGGTGCTAAAGAAAAATACTAGTAATTTACCGAGATAAATGCTTTCCACAATGCTTGTCTCTAAATACTGCCTGGGGAATTTAATGTCTCTAAATACTGGCTGGGGAAATAAATAAATTACGTAAAGCATTATCCTGACAGAACCTGAAGGTTAATTTCACGTAAAGGCACGTATGACAACGCTCTGCAAAAGATGTGATGAAATTTAAGGTAACATTTTCAGTAAGTAAAAAAGTCTCCGTTAAGAAAATTAAAAAAAAAAAGCTTAGGACAAAATACAAAAAGTAATTTTTCATGCTGGCAGGACAAAGGTAACTGAAATCACCACACATAGGTGAGATGGTAAATGAGGCATATCCCCAAAAAATAACTGCCTACACCTAAAATTTTTTAATAAAGCAGAAATATACCCTTTTGTAGAAACTAGATCCGCAATAAATTCATTTAGTCAATGAGTAATTATGAACTGGTAATATTATTCTAGAGATTTTCCTAACAGTACAGAAGCCAAAGAACTAAAGCCATCAATTTTTTGTCTGATGCAACTATTTAGGGGACATTTTTCTACAGTAATCTTAGAACTGGTTAAGTAGACTATACAATTTTCTTTTAACAGCCTTATTTTTAGTATACTCGATGAAGACAGATGCTAGATAGAAGATCCAACCAAGACACATTTATCCACTGCACCTACTCAATTATTCAATGGGAAAGACTTCCTGTTTGACACACAAAACAAAAAAATCATGGTGTGATGCCAAGGCTGTCCAGGCCAAAGAGCCATGAAGAAGTGGCACCCAATCCTTCAAATAAGTATTTGCCTATCATAAATCAAGACACTGGAATGGGTTCAAAACCTCGACAAAACAGATAGGTAAAAGTCTGCTTCAGCTTAAAAAGGCAGCTGTAAGCCTTTACTATTTAGTGGGTTTCAGTGTTGCTCTTTATGTGTCTGGAGAGGGCTGCGAACACCTTCAGAAAACTCACAGGAGTTTTCTTGTTTACTTACCTGAAACAGGGGACAGCTATAAGAAAGCCTTGAATTATAGTTTGATTTAAGATAATTCAACACCTGTAGAAGCTCTTAGAGCTCTGTGAGGTACAAGACACAACATTACCAAATTTGGGTTCTCAAACGTCTGCTGGCATGAACTAACTGTAATCCAAGACGCTTTGCTATCTTCTTTCCTCAACTCATTCTTTACTGAAGGAATGAGTTGAGGAAAGCTGCAGAGTGGATTTTCAGTCTACACAGAACAAAAAAGATAATAGAAGAACTAGGATTATACATACCTTAATAATATTTTTTTGCCTTCTTACCTCTTTAGGCAGAAATACAGGAAGAGGAAACTCAACTACATACTTCACTTCATAATTAGTATTTTTAAGTGAATTACTGTAAGCAAAAAGTTTGTATGAATTCTAGGTTGTTTTGACAGCAATCAGAATAAGGCCATAACATATATAGGTGGGAAAACTACAATCTTTATTTCCTTCATATAGTAATGGAAAACAAAAAAGAGAAGGGTAATCACAGTGTAAATGGCAGAACAAGGCCTAATATGTAGCTAAGGAAATGCAGAATAGAAAACGGAAAGCAAAGACTTGGCTTTAGGGAAAATGTCACAAGATAAGCACTTAGGCTACGCATTTTCGTAATTTATTAAGGAAAGAAAACCCTACAAGTTAGAGAATAAAATTAAGACTTAAATCTTAAAGTATTATCTTGATTTTATTTAATTTTTTTTTCCACAGAACAAACTATTACGTGAGTCAGGAAGGCCCTTAATGTTCCATGCTTTTCAGTTGTTAGTATAATCTTACATATTTTACAAGAAAAAACAAGCAGTTCTTATTTCTACAATGGCTTTTCACTATTTTTTTTTTTCAGTGAGATTATAATATTTTCATTAACTGACCCCTGCTATATTGAGGGAAATAGAAGGATACAATATTGTAGTGTTACACGCGAGATACTTAGAACTCTAAAACAGTGGAATCCAAATGTAATTTTATTATTAAAAATATTTGAGTTGCATACCTAAGACATATTTTTCCAAGCACCAAAAAAAAGAAACGTTTTAGTGTTCTTACATATATTTATATGGGTATTGTATGTGATTATTGAAAAAAAAAAATCCCCACTAGCTTATTGAAAATAATTCTCCACTAGCTTTTTGATTTACCTTGTGTAAAATGCAGCTTTATTTTTTGTATTTCTAGCCATCAGAAAGATAAATAGCAGCATGTTAGGTGTCAGAGGGACTGAAAACTTACAAGGAGTAAGAGCAAACTGGGTGATGGACAGTGTACAATCAATTATCAACGAGTATAAGATCATCTAGTAACACTTATTCCATTAAAATGGAAAGCACAATGTATCCTGAGAATATCAGGCAGATTCAATCTACAGTCAAAAAAAAACCAAATCAAAACAAACCCCCCAAAAATATCAAACCACAAAAAAACCAAAACCCACCCAAACCACAAAACTTGCACTAATGCAGTGCAGAGTCAGCATGAACAGAGAGCAGGATGAAGAGAAAATGAAATTATATTAAACCTACTAACAATGTAAAGAATTTGCATTGAGTTATTATTTTTGATAATTATAGAGGCTGGCCAAAAGTAGACCAGATGCTTAAACAATAGGTCATGTCATCAAAACAAGGTAATATTTTGGCTATTTTTTCAAGTGACTAGTTAAGCAACTTTTTTGCCCCTGTGATTTTTTTTTTTTTGCATTTACTTCCTCCCAGTGGTATACTTTGACCAGTTTATACTTGTTCGAAAAAAAATTTAAATTCAACACGAGTACCAAAAAGTGTGCTGGAGAGAACAGTAACGGATAATCAATTCTAACACATAGACTAAATTTATGCCTTTAAAGTCAATTCACTAAATCTTTTCTTAATATCAATAACTCTTTCAAAAAGGAGTTTGAAAAACTGACAATATTAGGACATCAGAACTCCCACACAGTATATTTCTACATTAGTAACAAGTCTTCAGTACGAACAGCTAAGACAGACTTGGCTATCTGGAAGTTACCTGGAAGGAATGAAATAAAACTCAGCATAAGACTTCTAATATAACAAGTTAATTGTTGCTGAGAACATCGATCAGTGAAAGAAAAATAATTACGAAAATGAGTTTAAAATATGTTTTGTTCTCTTGTACAGAGGAAATATCCCAAAGTTACTTAAATCTTATGACAAAGAATTAAGTATTAAGCAGCATGAGAACTTCATTTTGTATTTGTGTATTTGGGGGGGGAGTGGCCCATCTCATTCGACTCATCCTGTGACTACATGACTGACAATCCAACATGGGAGGAGAGGGAACAGAAGGAACATGTGGTCAGAGATAGGCAGAAGAGACAGAAAGAAGGACCACTGCTTCAGGTTGGCACCTCACTACTAGATCAACTTAGGCTTAACACCAGCTCTAGTTCTTAGGCTGTGAGAGCTAACTTTCAGAGGGGTAAAGTAAAATAAAAGCCATTCCTCAAGACTGTAATCAAAAGTATGAAGAAAAGGCTGATTATTAACCCAGAATAAGGGTCAAAATAAGTACAATCATACAGTAAGAAACTAGCACCTTACAGCTCAGCTATTGGGATAAAAAGAAGGGAAAAAAGAAAAAGGTAAATTTTCACAGGAACAGCAATGCATCAGCTGGGAAGAGGTTCTGGTATCTTTTTAAGTACAAACAGGCCATCTCTGAGGCCGTAAAGGCATCTGAGAGCTACAGCAAGAACACAAGTTAAAAGACCACTGGCATGGAACAGTAGTAGACTGTTCAGCCTCTGCAGCAGTAGTAATATGGCTATATGACCCAGAGGTAAGAAATGAAAACAAGCACAGTCAACTAATCATTAAGGAATCAATATACAAATATGACTACTTTTTGTGCAGCTTTTTATAGTAAGAGTAAACAGCAAAGAATTGTGCACTCTTGGTATTTGTCTAAAAAAAAAAAAAAAAAACCATCAACATGTATCTCTATTTCCATGACATTCACAAATAATGCCTTTTGAAATTTCCAACTTCGATAAGGCTAATACATTCTAAACCTCATAAAACGGACTGAGGCATACGCCTCCACCACAATATTTGGCAAAGAAGAAATCATTGAAACAAGAATAAAATCATGATACAAAATAAAGTGATACAGATGTCTATTTTTAGCCATACATACACATGTAGTAAAAACCTTCAGAATAGAAATTTTAAAAGGCTGTTTCCTAACCTTTACAGAACAACATACAACGTACATGAAATAAAACAGAAAACTGTTTAATAGAGCAAGCAACAAGGTTTTAGAGAGAAAATACGCATAAAACTGTTTGGCTGACAGGTCAATTATTCATTTTCAAACAATACAATTGAAATTTATTATACAGTAAGAATACCACACGATAATACACTTATGTTTCGTATAAACAACTAGAAGTTGAGATTTTGTGTATTTGCTTAACTGTTCTTCTACACATGCAATTAGCACTTTTTGCATGAGTAGACAATAATGTCTGAAGGGTTACATATTTTGTACAGAGTTATGTAGTTTATATTTTTAATACAATTTGTTAACACATACCCATGTGTCTGCATGAACAGGCCTGATGTTGCTGAGGAGCACCTCTTCATAATTTCCATAATCACAGAATTTAACAACCGCAGTTGTCCCAGAAGAATGGAGAGCTTCAATTTCTGCACGGTAGAACTTAAAAGAGAAATTTTCAAAGGTCATAAAATACTACCTGAAATACCACAAACAGCTTAACAACTATCTTTTCATATGTGTGTGTGTGTGCGCGCGTGTATAAAAAAATAAAAATTTAGTCTTAGTCGGCATTTTGCTTTGAATAAGATTTGTACTGCGTATTAAACCAGATGTATTAAAATTCCACATGGTAGACTTCAAGGACACATGGTAGAATGTGTTTAGAATACTCACTGAGAAAACATGCAGCTTATGAAATTAGACCGAACATTTAAAAGACTTGTTTTCATTTCTCTGAAAGCAGAACAATTTCATCACTAACACAAATGCTGTTATATACAGAGAAGTGTTACTCTAAGACTTTTTCTTAAAACACATGTATCAGTAAGTACCTATCAGCCATATACACTGTACATGTTAATTATACCTATTTTAAGACATAATATAATATAAAAATACGATAAACTGCCCCTTCAAGAAGTCAATTTTCTAAACACAAAACTTGCTTCTTTATTTTTTTGTGTTACTTTTATTGAAACACAGATCGGCTTTTTTGAAGTATTCAACCAATCACTTTTATTTTACTAAACACAAGGAAACCACTGCCTCTTAACACGGTTAAGCTCAGTACTGTATTTTATCATCACATTTCAAAATTGTCCTAGATGTGAGCAGCAGCATTTATTGTAACTACCAAAAAACCAATAGTCCTCAAAAAAACCCTTCTAATGTGATGAATACTTCTCAGGTAACAGTCTGAGATTACCTCATATCTACTTATTTTGCAAGTTTCATACTTTCCAGGATTTCAAAACCTCATCTCACAGTAATGCAAATAAGCTTCTCAAAATAGGAAACAATTCGGTAACATGTCATTGTATTTCACACGAATCCATCCACCCAAGCCACATATTCCTATTTCAGAGAGTCAACTCACTGTATGTTGCCACCACCAAAAATTTTGCATGCCTTATCTGTTTTAGTATACAAGCAAAAGAGAGAAAAATAAAGTCATGTTGCTGAGCTAACACTATCTACTTCCTGAAAAAAAGACCAAAAAAGAAGAAAAACCTTAAATAAAGAATATAAAATAAACAACAAAAAAGACAGAAAATGGTGCAAATAAAACTTATTTAAAGAACAATAATATTTAAGGTAGTTCTCAGATTATCAGAAGGGATCAAAAAGTGAAGAAACTATCCAAGGAAATTGACAGAGAACTCCTGAACAGATAATAACAAATCAAAGAAAATATACTAAAACTTTTTTTGCAAAGGAGAAGAAGATGAAAAGAAAGTGTCTTGCCACAAGAGAAATCTTATAAATAAGAAAACCAGCTGAAGTAGTATTTAAACTTTGAAAAACCAGTAAAACAAAACTATCATCCAGCATAACTCATTTGTTCCACAAATACTTCAGCTAATAGTCTACTAGTGATAACAAAAAATAAGCCTTTTGCTGTTTCCTTTCTGCGATGATTGAAATTAAAGAGGGAGATATTTTTTTTTAAACAGCCCCGTTCCCACAGATAGTGGCCTTCCCTTGCACTAGTAAGGGTTGCACACTGACTTACTCTAGAAAAAGGCATTACACATGTACCATTACAGACTATTCTAGATAGCACAGCATCCTGTTTCTTGTTCCCTGGAAAATAATATGGGCACTTAGGTCCATATTCATCCCTTCTAATTTTTGACACTTAAATCAAATGCTTTAGTTAAGAGCTTAGTCATCCTAAACTCCACCTAAATGAGAGAAACAATCACCTTCAAGATGACTTAATTTAAGCACTTCAAGTTTCACACACTGAATAAAAGCAACATATCTCATAAGTAAATTAAAAAAAAAAAAAAAAAAAAAAAAAAAAAAAAGAACAAGAAGCTAGCCAAGAAGCACACTACACACCTATGAACAAAGCCCCGTGTCTCTCTGCTAGCAAGCTAAATCTCCCACATGTATGTAATAAAATATAAAAGGTACAAGTTGAGGTACTTCTCATTTGGCAAAGGCATACCTTGTTGTCTTCCCAATAAAGAGCAAAACATTCATCCCCTGGTCTCCAACTCTTTCCATACTCCATGTGGACTGATGGTTCTAATATTTTCTCTGGTTTGATGGGCCCAGATCTCCTTTTGGGACCGGTGTTGTAATACATCATTTTATCATCAAAAGATGGGATCGCAGTGGGTCCTGATGATTTGATAGGTCCTACTCGTCTTCCTTTCTGATGATGCTCAGTATCTCCATTTGGTACAGCATTAAAATTATCAGTTCTGCCAGCATTTTGGTAATCATTAACACCAAAATGTTGCTCACTTTTTACCATAAAGGCTTCGCTATTTATTGTTCGCGCCTTCCTATCACAAAAATTTTCAGAGTTGTGTATTTGGTTTTCCCTTTTCCCACGTTTCTGGTTATTGTTGTCTGTAGTATCTTGAGCAGCAGAGTTCTCCTTGAATTCTGTGAAAGACACCCCTTTTCCTACTCTGTTTTGCATATTGTTATCCCTTTTTTTGAAAGTAATATCACTCTGGTGAGTGGCTATGGGATAAGCCAAATCCTTTGGCCTATCATTTCTAGGATAATGTCTGTCACTTTTATTTTTTTCCTCTGTCCAATGTTCTAAAGAGCTGTGCCTTTCAGGACCTCTGTTTCTTGGTAACCCACCACTTTCCAAAGCCTGCCTTGAATTTTGAATATCCCTTTGAAAACGAGGGGGTTTCTCATTCCTTGGTTGTCTCATGTCATTGCGAGAAATGTGTCTTGAATGATTCTCTTTGATGCCATTCTGTTCTGTATTCATGACTTTGTGCTGTACTTGATGTGGTGGCTGAAATTGCAATTTTGGTTCTACAAAGAAAAAAAATATTTTAATTATTAACGTATTTCACATAAACTTATTTTAGAAATAGTGTTTCAGACCCCAACTGATAAAGCAACAGTATTATTTACAAAAGTATGCAGTATTTACCTTTGTGATACAGAAATGGAATGGTACATACAAAATTTAGCAAAGACATTTGAAATGTAATTCCTAGTTATTGGAAAACATACACTAATCCGGGCTGTACTTAGAACCAAACCACCTACCAGTATGAGAAAAGCTGGGCATAAATTTCCAGGAGGTTACTCATTTCTCCATACGGATACCAATAACTCATTTGAATTTAAGACAGCCATTTAAGACAGAAAAATTGAATTCCAAGATGGAGAAAGGAAAAGGGAGGAAAATGAGGAGAAAAAAGGAACACACTTAATCTGAAACTTTCTGAAAAAATACCTTGTTCACAGGTATTCAGCATAAAAGTCAAAGACAAGAAATAGAAGTCATAAAATGAACGCAGGTGATAAACCATAGATAACGGGAATAGTAACAAAGCCCGTAACTCTGGAGAGCCTGATCAATGAGCCGTAACAGGAACCACTCAAGCATTACCTTCAAGAGATTCAACCAGAACTTTAACTGATGAGAAGAAAAACAAGATTATCATGGATCTCATGAGAAAGAGCAAACTTGCTATGGGATGCTGGGGAGGAGGGGAACTGGTGGCTGGGAGTGAGATCTGCTAACAGACTTTGAACCTGATTGAAAAGGAAAGCATAAACCATAAAAGTAATCCATGTTTGTATGAGCAATTTCATGTCATGTAGGTCCCTGCAAAGGTGTCATTCTCTTGCCTGTGTCCGTCCATGGCAGTTGGCCATGTAGGTACTGTGTGCATGAGCGTGGGGGGACCGTGCACTCAGGCTCTCTGCTGCCTGGCCCTGAGTATGCTCCTATGGGAAGGAAAAACTAAGAAATTCAGTTTGCTTGTTACCACTAGAAGCAATGAATGCTGATATCTGACAACAAATGTCAAAATGTTCATAATTACTTGCAACATAGTAAGAGATAAAATTAAAATGTAAATTTTAGCTTCTTAAATAAAAACCAAACTTCTAAGCATCACATTATTATTAAAAGATCACAGCATTTGTATCAATTTAATTGACTAAATCAGCTAACAAGAATCTAATTTTATTTTTACATACACTTGATTTACCCTAATTTTCAGAAGTCAAAAAGGTTTGACTAAAATTAGTGGTTTTCTTTAAAGTGACATAAACATACATGAGGCTTAGCATTATCATAATCTTGATAAAAATACATCTTACTGCAAAATTTATGACTTTGAAACCAATACTGTTTTTAATGCACACATATGTACATATGTATTACTCAGAAAGAACCAAGAGTTTCATAAATATTCATTTTCTTTTTAAAAATTGAAAGATGACTTTTAAAATCTTGTAACATTTAAAATTTGGGGTTTTTTTTCCAGACTAAATCCTTCAAGTTTGAAAGTACCTCTTTATCTCTCCTTTACAAATGGAATATGAAAATACTGTTTTTCTTTGGTTTATACCTGTAACTTTTCTGTAAGTATCTTCAGTACACTTTCTCACTCCTGTATAACACATACCAGTGATTTATACCTGTAAATTTTCTGTAAGTATCTTCATTAAACTTTCTCACTCCTGTATAACACATACCAATTTTCTAGATTTCCTGTCGTCTAGAAAGGTTTATCTTCCTAATTAATTAACAGTCTTCCTTCATGACATGCTTAATTTATACCTGTTTTCCTCTGGTAGTAAAATCCTTGGGCTTCCACGCTTCCTATTCTCAATCTAAACTATCCTGCCTCTTCCTAATGTTAACTACACATGAAATGATTGAACTGTTTGATGACCTCTGAATGTTTGCTGCCTTGTATACACCATTAAAGAAAAGTTGTGTATAAAATTTGAAGATACTTCATTATAAATCATCTCATTTAATATTTTGTAACATGAAATCCATTAAACAAAGTTATTGCACAGGGGAAATGTTGCAACAGTAAAAGTAGAAATGGGCTAAAGACTAGATTTTGCATGTTAATATTTTGCTAGTTGGCAGGATTTTAGGATTGACTTAGAATTTAAATGTTTCCTCTTGAGGGCTGTCCTTTGACCGTTTTCTAAATGAAGAAACATTTTCTGAGCTAAGATGGGTAGTCATCTCAGAGAGAGTCTAGTATACACAAGGACTCTACAGCTGCAAGACTTATCCTCAAAGCATGCAGAGCAGTTATAGTACTTTAAAGCCCTGAGGAAAACCTGAAACATATACATATTATTCTATAATTTGAAAAAGTTTACTGAAATTTCTATTCAATTTCATAGCATGATTGTCTAGATGTTTTAATGAAAATAGCTAGTTTTACTAGACACCAAAAAAATCTGGATATAATAGATCTCCGAGCAACCCAGTTCTGTCACACAGCTGCAGAGATCTTCTTTTCTACCCTTCTTCCACCTCTTTGACCTGCTTTCCAATAAAAAGTTACAAGCATTCTTATGTGAGGCAGTATTTTCTATCTTTAGAAAGGCAGTATTAATCTTCAAAATGTAGAAAGAAATAATTCAGAACTCCAATGCTATTCATCTACTTAACAAGAATTACCTGTAAAATAGGACTTAAAGAAGTTTCTTTTAGAGTTATAACTCACTGTTCCACAAAGAAGCATGTAGATTAAAACAGAACAACTGCTAAGAAAAAATAGCAACACATTTAAACACTGGCATGAGTAGCTCCACCCATAAGTAGTTAGAAACAATTATATATTATCTCCTTTTTTCAAACAACAGAAATTTTAGCTGTATGTTAATAAAAAAAAGCCATCTGTTGCATATCTATTTAACAAAAGATTTATAACATAGCAGTGACAAACCTAGGACTATCAGATGATCAAATAAATCATATCTACCCAACATAATGTGATCATGATACAAAAGCAACAAGCAGACTTTAAAGTGTGTCAAAACTCTTAGTTACAGAATTTTTTTAAGTAGTATAGGGAAATTAAAATAATACTGAAAGTTAAACAGCATGGAAAGAGACAAGAGAATTTCAAAACAATGAAAATAAGTATCTTTTTTCCAGGTCTATTTATTGTGACATGTAAAAGCTGCTCACAAAACATCTGCTATTTTTCTATTCTAAACTTAAGAGATGTAAAATCTAGTAAACCGATGTCTTCTACAAAGATGCAGTTATTGTGCTAAAAGCTTCCCAGGGGACTACATCATACACAACAGCCTTGAATGAGCAGGACACGTTAACCAATTATTTAATGTTCAAGCACAACCCATGCAACAAATGGGAACTGCCAAACAACAGTAGATGTTACTTTGTCAACAGTAGTCAGTCAAAAAAGCCTAGAGATGAGAACATTGCGGGTTCTTCATGAATTTGTGCTGTCTGGCCCGATGACCAAAAAACTGAAGGGAATCTGAAGCTTCTTTAATAGAAGTTAAGCGATGAGGGATGTTATTCACAGATTGTCTACTGCAGCTGCTGTTCCTTGCTTCTACTTCTTCTTGCCCCACTTCCAACAAACCATTACCTAATGTTCCCAGAAAAGTAATAGTTCCTACAGAGTAGTAAAAACCAAGTATTAATTTGGCATTTAACAAGAAGATTTGGTACGGTCTTCTGTCAAACAGCGAGATGCATCAGCCCATTCATCATCACTGTAACCAGACATTTGGGAACATGGTCTAGAAATAATCCATTTCAAAATGAATGACAAGGCTTTTGTCATCTGGTGGGTAGTTTTAAGATGATGACTAGCGTTTTCTCAGTTTGAAACCACCACTCACTAATTTTACTCATTTAAGTTTTTGTATGTAATGACCCAAGAAGACTGTACAGAACCAATCACATTCCCTTGCTTACAAGAAACCAGCAGGACCTGCTGCAGCTGGAACTCCCAGCCAACGCCATTTAAAAAGCACTGCTCCATGGAAAATGGAGTTTAAGCAGTATGGTTTCCTGTAGCTGTCTCCCATGGGTTTTATCATGTTTAATAATGTGGTTAAGCTCAAAGACAGCAGCCCTTCCCACAGCAGTGGCAATGATTTGGGCGGCTTCTTCCAACTTGAATTATATTTTCATGCAACTCTATGAAAGCATGTCTTTGAGACAGCTACCCCCAAGCCATGTTCTATCTTGTATTGGCCAAAAAGATTAAAAAATTAGAAGGAAATTAATAATACATTTGCACATATTTCATGTCATGGAGTGAAATTCCAGTTACTCAAGAGCTTTGTCGAGTTACATAAATATCAGTATTATTCTTTCTAAAATGTAGTAACACTGAGGAACTAGAATATGAGTTCATGTTTCTGTTGAAACAAAATAAATACAAGCTGAGGGGAACGATAATATTAATAAAGAATTGGCAAAAAACCCCAAATATTCTGCCATTGCATTCACTACAAACTTGAACTTACAGGATTAAAGGACTGGAACAAAAATTGATAATTTGATTACTTTAAATTTATGACATTTACTACATTTTTCATTCATATATTTAAAGAGAAGTTACAGACAAAATAAAAATACAGAAGTCTCCTAACACATCACCAATGTCAACATAATACTACTACAAAAATAAGTTATTTTCTTGATATTCACAATTAACAGTGATTGAAATTCAACTTTTAGAAGTAAAGCTGCATAATAAACATGACTATTTCGTAATTCAGCTCCCTTACTGTAACTAGGGCACTGTGTTAGTTGAAAATACAGCTACTAAATGATAAATTCCAAATATTACAAATACCCTTGAACTCCAATAGGTCAGACTCTTTTTTCCTCCCGAGTTCCCTCGCCCCTAGATAGTCAAATAAATTGTGTGACCAAGAAATGAAACTTTTTTTTAGTTATATTCTACTGCATTAGCAATTTATTTCAAACCTTTAAGTTATTTTGGTAATACATAAATCATAACAGACTAAAACATGAAAAGACTGTTGAAATTAGA